TTTAAACTCCTGGTAATAACTTTCTTTTATATTGTCAGGTTCGATTATTAGAAATGTAATCCACAGTTACAATATTTATTTGCTGTAACCATCAGAAAAGATAAATAATATACATAGATAAATATAGATAAATAATATACATATATAGATAAATAATATATCCTACAGAATGAAAGGAAGATTCTGTAGGAAAAATAGTTGGTCCGTCAATTCTCGCTTTCTATTATCTGTTAGCAATTAAGCGAATAGCGATCCCCAAACTTTTTGAACTAAAAAAATACATTTTTTAAATATTATTATGTGTAGTACTTAGTGACCGTTAATTAATGATTATTTAGAGATCTTGATGTAGGTTTAGAAATTTTTTCTTTATCGTGCTAACGTTTCGACCTTTATTGCGATCATCTTCAGGGCCTGGTATTTATAAACATTGTTTAAATTATAAGATACGGATACGAACGTGTACAGTTTATAGAAATTTTAGGTTTAATCAAAGTATTTGTACTCACTCAAAGTGTTTGTTTTCTGTGTAGATGTGTCATTGTTGTGTGTCGTGTTGAGAGTGTTAGTTAGGTATTTTTGCTTTTTTGTTTACATATGTTTGATTTTGGAGTGGGGAAGGAAGTAGGCATGGAAATTCATTTTTCTATGGTGAGTTTCTTTGAGGTGAAAGGGACCGAGAATGGAAAAAAGGATAGTGGTTCGGCCTGATTATCATTTCAGGATTATATAGACGGGGATACTTGGGGAAAGTATAGTCAAATTGTTGAACAATTATATATGTAGAAATATTTGATGTGAGGAATTTTATGACTGTTTTATATGTTATATGTTTTGTGTGATGTGATGATGACGTATGTATGTTATCGACATTGAATTTGATTAATGATATTAGCCTAGCTGCGACTGAGCCTATATGTGTCTTTTTCTGTATTTTTTTTCTTTTATTTTACGAGGGTTTTCAACAGCAGAGGTCATATAAACCCTCAGGGTGCAGGTGATTTTGAAAAAAAAGCCCATTTGGAAATATGTCGGGTTCGAATGCAGGGCCGCTGGATTCGAACCCGGGACCTTACAGTGATGAGCGTCGTGTCAACGCCTAAACCGTTGCGGCTACCGACGCTGTAAACCATTTCTAAAAAGTTACGTTTTTGTTTGTTTTGTTTTGTGTTTAATATTTTTGAAATCGAAATAGTGTTGGTGTTCAAAATGATGGATAGCCAGTGCTGCAGCATTTTGTTTGAGCTTTTTGCACTCTTAGATTTATTTTACCCTCTTATGGGTAAATTCTCTACCCTCTTACATATAGGGATGTAATTCCGATGTAAGTTGCAGGACAATTTATACAATTGATTTTGTAAATTACATCAGACTTATTTCTTGCTGGTTTGGGATCTTTAATTTTGGAAAAAAGAGTGTCAATAGTTTTTTAAGGCTATTTTAAAGTTATAAAAAAAGAGAAATATCTTTAATGTGTGTGATAGGCGAATGGAATGGATATAAAGGGCACAGTGGAAAAATGATGTGTCCATTTTGTTTTTTGTCAGAATCGAGATTTCACCGGCATCTGTGGCTTGTGACATTAACTATTAATCCGCCAAATGTAACTAGGGAAAACCAATTAGATTCCACTAAAAATCGCGTTTGAAAATGGGCGGCACAGTGGAAGAACGATGTAACTCCTGTGCACCTAAGGAAGAACGATGAGGATCCATCTCTCCGGCATTTAAAAATTCTTCCACAAGCAGTCAGAACGCTTATAATTTTTTGTGGCTCATGTGCAGGGCAAAATAAAAATTATACAGTTCTGCGATTCCTTCACCATCTACAGAAAAAGGGAGAATATATTATGTAAAAGTTTTCTTTCCCATCCGTGGCCATAGCTATCTGGAGTGCGATAGAGATATGAGAATGATTAATCAAAAATCCTACGTAGATATGCCTCAAGGATGGAGAGATGTGATTGTTCCGAACAGATGCAAACCCTATCCGTTCACTGTTATCGATTGTAAGAGGGAATTTTTCAAATCGTGGACGAATTACTTAGTACCTATGTACACACCGAAATGTCCCATCCCCACAAGAACGATTCGAAGGAACCGGATCAGGCGTTTTCTGTACAAGCCCAAAACATGAGCAATAAACTCATTAGGGAAGTACACTTCGATCTTTCANCATCGCAGAATGGATCCAAGCAAAACAAAAGGAAAAATGGATAAACTCTAGGGATGCTAGACATAGTAAACGTATGATGAAACAACTCTCACCGAGATTGGCAAAAACACTGCTGCAATTGGAGAGAGCCAAACTCAGAGGAGTGGTAGGGCTACTAACCGGTCACTGGTATCTGAGAAAACATCTACACACCATGGGTATATACAGCGATGATCCCATTTGCAGATTATGTAATGAGGAGGAAGAAACAGCTATTCATATCATCTTCGAATGCGAAGCAACAGCTCAATGGAGGTTTAACCTAACGTACGGAAACGACTTAGGGAATCAAATTGCAGCAGGAACAGTCAGCTGATATTTCTAAGAAGAAGGATTGAGTCTATTGACTGAACTAAGGAACTAGGAAGGTACAATAAGCCAGAAGGCTGCAGTGCCTGGGGAATACAAACCCCGCTTCCTAGCATCCTTTCCACCATACCATACCATACCAAGAGGGAATTTTTCAAATCGTGGACGAATTACTTAGTACGGATGTACACATTGAAAAGTCTCATCCCCACAAGAACGAATCGATGTTTGAAGATATCTCTTACACACCACAATATGTACACCACCGCACTTCATTCTGTGGAGCTTATAATAAGCACAATGTGTTGTGGGTGCCACAAAGGCAAAAAAATGGGAAAAGCCCCGCACCAAAACAGCAGCTTCGTAACTCCTATGATGAGTCCCTTCTATTAATCTGGAAAAATATGACTTTCGACACCTGACAACATTTCTCACCATCGAAGTTGCCAGGAGGTTTTACAATAATTTGGTCACAGATAGAACTGCCACAGAAACTCAGGTTATGTTTATTTTGATTATGAGGTAGACGATAAGTAACGTAAAACTTTTCAACTTTTTTCAGTTTTGTTTTTACAATAATTCATCTCAAATTTTGACCATAGATATCATTTCAGAATTTTCGTTTCACTCGTCTGTTCATCTTTGAAATTAATAATAAAATTTCGTAATCATGGTATTTTCTTATTCGTTCCTGGGTTCGAAATGAGGGTTTAATGGTTTTTGGATCATGAGAATTACTCAGAAAGAACNCCACATCCTAAATGTATTTGTTAAATGTAAACATTGTTTGTAAATCCCAGGCCCTGAAGATGATCTCAGTGAAAGATCGAAACGTTGGCACGATAAAGAAAATGTTTTTCTGAAACCTACATCACACTAGACCGCATCTCACGAGACCTGAATTACTATCGATTAACGGTCACTAATCTCTACATATTTCACCAGTAGTCATGAAACTTTAAATTTAGTGTTTCTCAAATGTTGAAAAATGGAACCTCATAATTTTTCCACTGGACCCTTCATATGTATGTTGGTTTGTGTGTTTGATAGAATTGATGTAATTTAGTGATAGTGGATGGTGTCAATGTTGAGTTGTAGGTTTATGTGTTTAGGGTAGTGATTGTTACGTAGGATTTGTTTGTATATCTTTATGTTCTTATGGTGAAAAGATTCATGGCTCAAGGTCATAATTCTATGATGTAGTCCTCCCCTAGCGATCTGAGTTTTTTGTTTTTGATACCAATCTGTGATTAATGTGCCACCTGGTTGTTTATTACAAATATAAAAATAATATATTGACAGCAGTTCTCACAGATCAAAATCAAACTACATTAGAATCATTTAACAGCTTTCGCCACGCCTACAATTACTTTCCAAATAAAAACATCATTTATTTATTGGTACCCCGATTTGTCTAAGATGCATGAAAATTTAAGGACTGGATTTGGTCCCAAAATCAAATTTCCGAGCCCATGGGAATCATTAACTTGCAAGCAGAAATCCATCAATGGAAAGATTTAGTTAATCCAGTATTAATAGAGGATATAGCTATGTCGGGTAGGCAGCCATTACAGCAACTTAAACATTACTAGCAGAAGAATGGTGTTGAATTGCAAATCCAAACTAAACAGATTATGTGTGCAAATCAAGACTTCACTCGACTGGATCCCAGGCGTAAAGATGAACGGAGAAGCCATGCGAGGGAAGGGACTGCTACACCGCTGATAGGTTCTAAATTATCACGTTATCAACGTCATGGCACAATCTATGGACTCTAACAATCCATGAAACTTAAAGGGATTTGGAAAGATACGATAGATTTCATCAAAGGAAGCCGGAATGGACACCTAGTCATTACAGGTCTCGGTATTTGAGGAAGTTTGATATAACCAACACGTGGAGGTTCGCAAAGTAGCGCAATCCCAACGCACCAACAAACTGTGTTGCTACTTGCTTTGGGGTGTACAACGCAACCGTAGAAGACATACAACCACGAAAACATGGCCTGATCATCTTATTTCCTGATTAATTGGGACTCGCCGTACATAATTCAGGAACTAGATAAAATGATCGAACCCCCTATTAAAAACTGAAAATTTAATCTTTAGGTAACAATATTTGTACTAAAACGTTTTTGAAAATATTTGAATTTTATCCCAAAATTTTTTACGTTTAAATTTTCTTACATTAAAAAATTAACAAACGATTTATAAAGGATGGTAGAGCTCGGTAAAAAAAAGTAGATGGCCCGTGCATTCTCGCTTTGTTTCATGACAATATGTTTATTTAAATGATACTACATTTGTTGATCCTTATGTCACATAAATGTCTGCCTGAACCATCCATTATATCCACCAGATTCTGGTTAATTTTTAAGGATTCTCCTAGTGTGAGTTTCACTGTTTTTTAATTGCATGTATTATTATTGCATATATTATTATATAATTATTGCATATATTATTTATTATTTTTCTTACTTGTGACGACGGCGGCTGTAAGGATGACGGTGAACAAGTCCATGTGCGGTTGAGGTCCGGTACCGATTGATTGTGCGTCTCTGGCACGCAGGTGAGGTGTGTGGGCCAGCTTCCACCCCCTCCAAATTGGTAATTGGTGAAGCATTTCCTAGGCGAATCCCGACCCTCATCATCACCGGCCGACCAAAGAGCCGAAACTTTAGAATCCAACATGAAGAAAGTTAAGAAAATAAAACCAGCGTCAGAGTTTTTTTATAGAGTAACCATCTGCGCGAGACACATGGGGATAAAATAATAATAAATTGAGATGAGTAGCTATCCAATGATAGCGCTCCTAAATTATTGATTAATTTTAATCACCCTCAATTTCTGATACTGTATTTGTAGAGCGATGAGATCAGGGAAAGTTATGTTATTGACTAGGGTAGGATCAAGGTTAGTATGAAATACAATTCTGTCTTGCAACTTCTTTTATAAAAGGAACATTGAGATCATTATGGATGGAGAGGTTGGAAACACAAAACAGGGCATTGAAAATGGATGTTAGGATTTGAGACTGTAAGGTCTAGATTATGTGGAGATTAAAAGGTTCAGTTGACCTCCATAGTTCTGTGCTGTGTGTTTATATTGGTTCTAGTAATTGTTGTTGAGAAAGTATTTGGATCTGTTGTCTAGTAGTTACCAATTTACCAAGTACCAATTTAAGTAATTGGTATCGGTTCAGTTCTGTCATTTTAAATCTTGTATTGTGTTTTCGGTATAAGCAGGTGAGGTTGTAATGGATTGGAGGTACAAGAAGACAGAGGGTAAAGATTAGGTTTGGAAATTTTTTGGTGTAGACCCTCTCCAGACGTCACAACTCACCCCAGAATACTTGATATTTCTCGGGGCGGGGTTTTAAGCAACCTCTTCCTTTCGCGCTAATAAATTACTTTTACTCTACAGACGTCACAACTCACCTCAGAGTACTCGATATTCCTCAGAGTGGGTTGAACCCATTTCATTCTCGATAATAATTAATTACTTTTATTCTCCAAACGTGACAACTCACCCCAGTGTTCCCGATATTCCTCGCAGCGGGGTTAAACCCACTCCATTCTCGCTAATAATTTACTTTTACTCCCCAGACGTCGCACATTCACCCCAGAGTACTCGATATTTCTCGGGATGGGGATTTAACCAACCCCCTCCTTTCGCGCTAATAAATTACTTTTACGCTCCAAACGTAACAAATCACCCCAGAGTACTCGATATTCCTCGGAGTGGGGTTGAACCCACTTCATTCTCGATAATAATTTATTTTTACTCTCCAGACGTCCTCACCCCAGAGTACTCGATATCCCTCGTGGCGGGTTATAAGCAACCCCTTCCTTTCACGCTAATAAATCACGTTCGTTCAATAAATTAACATAAATTCAACAAAGACGATGTGTATGAACCAAAGTTATACTTTTTGTAAAAGATCACAAATTGTAAGAGTTATTAAAGTAATTATTAGTAAAAGTAAAGTAGTTATTTCTTTATTTATTAGTGTTTATTGAATTTATAATATACAATATACATACAGACATTTTTAAAATTAAAGACAGGCTCTTGGTTATCTTAACCGTCAAGAGTAAAGTAATTATTAAAACTTAGTAAAGTTAAAATATGTGAATAGTACCATCTTTTAGCATAAGTGGAACTTTGGTTGTTTAGTTAAGTACTGTAAGAACGCCTGGCAATACAGTTACAACTTAGTAAGTATATATAACTTACTGAGTACCCTCTACCTAAATAAGGATTTGTTAATGTCTATGTTATTAAAATGTCTCTAATGTAATTTTAGATTAATATGTTTTGTACTTAGATCGAAGTCTATGTTTGTAGCGGACTATAATTTTGGGGCAGTTGATTATAGTTTTACATTATTTGGAGATCGTGAAATGCGGTCTGGCTTGACGTAGGTTTTAGAAAAACATTTTCTTTATCGTACCAAAGTTTCGATCTTTATTGAGATCATCTTCAGTGCTCAAAGTGTTTGTTTTCTGTGCAGATGTGTCATTTTTTTCTGTCGTGTTGAGAGTGACAGTCAAGTGCCTGACAGTGACTGGCACTCTCAACATGACACACAAGAATGACGTATCTGCACAGAAAACAAACACTTTGAGCACTGAAGATGATCTCAATAAAGATCGAAACTTTGGTACGATAAAGAAAATATTTTCTAAAACCTACGTCACACCAGACCGCATCTCACGATCTCCAAATAACATTAACCAACGGTCATTAAACGCCACACATATAATTTTTATTTTCATTTATTTCTATCAAAATGAAGGTTTTTGTTTTAAGACAACCCCTCAGACGGCCTCAATGGCTATGAAGACGTTATAAAGAAAGGAATGTCTAAGACTTATTATTATTATTATTATAGCAGCAATCAGCACTATTACTGCCACTTATACCATATACTATATCCAACCATAAAGTTTAGCCGATACGGGCGCAGCCTTGTTGCTCTCCCTGATTTACAAAGTTTTTAATTGAGGTTATTTCTTTTCTTTTGTTTTACAAGTGAAATTGGACTATCTCACTACTAGGTTTTGAGAAAATTAGAAATTTGTCTTGTTTAACTCTTTTACCAATAAAAATGTACTTAGGTGAATGTACAGTGCTCGTGGAGTACCACTAAAGGAAATCTCTTACACTTTTCATAGATGCTAAATAATTACCAAAAATTTTATAAATTTTGGGAATAATGGAAAGTATTTAATGGATTTGTTCGATTTTTAGAAGAGTTTTTAAGGTATTTTGTGTGATTGTTTTTATGTGCACAGGTCGCGTTTTGGTAAAAGTGACAAAAATAGAATCATCAGCATCATTTGACGACCGGTTATCCATTTCCCAGTTACGGTCGTCACTAGCGCTTTATTACATCACACTCTAAACCCAAACAGATGATTATTTACACGGAATTACAATTATTAAATTTTTTACATTACTGCATTTTTAGTATATAGTATGTAGTGAACTATTACAAGCATTTTATTGTGAAATGAACTAATATAGAAACGCAACATGGTCACAACATGTTTCACTTTCATCTACGTGCAGTACTGTGCAATCGTAGGATGCATAACAAAAGTTTAACGATGGATATAACTCCAAACTATTGAGGGGTAAGTGTCATAAGTGTATTTGAGATTTTTTTTGTTTACTCCTTTTTGTAAAATATTGCACTATATTATTTTATTAGAGCGTCGAGAAGTTTTTAAATACGACTTAGTTTCAGATTGGTGGAAAATATGAAGATGATTGTAAACGAAAGGAATATTTGAAGAGCTTAGTTTTGAAGAGAGTATGCCACGTCAGGCAATACGTCCAATGCCCAATAATGGTAAAACCAAATTTTAAAATTAATCACTGGAGTACTCTTCTAAAAACTTTATTATTCAATTGTTTAACGCAAAAACATCAAAAGTGCTCATTAGCAACATATTCTCGTTATTTGTCTGATGAAGACATAAAATTTGCTTTGGTCAAAACAAACGGGACTGGAAGTGGAAAGAGTGAAATAAGCAGGTTTACCTGACTTCATCAGATTTGAAGCTAAGAGCTCAAAATAACACGTTTCAAAGGGTGAAGTCAGATATTCCTTGTACTAGTTGTACACATATTAAAGAAATTGATTTCACAAGGTGTTTTTTAATTTACAGTGAAGAAAACCGACACTCAATCTGTTGGAGGAATAGTATCAAATTCGAATCGGACGCGTCCCAAATTAACGAGTCAAAAGAAAATCCAAAAATCTGCTGTGCCGAACGATCGGGGAGACGGTGAACCGAGAAAGGCGGCCCCGAAGGCCAAAGTGGACACGTCCAGGCCGGCGCGGAAGCAGGATGAAGTCGAGGAGATTGTATTTGCGGTCGGTCAGCAAAAACAGAAGAAGCCGAATAAAAGAATCACAGGGCGTCATTATCAAACGAAACAAAAAACGAAAGAGATGCTAAACGAAGTCAATCTTCTCCTATCGATGGAGAAGTTCCACACGAACGTAAACACTTCGAAAAGTTATCTCAGATCCGTTCAAAAGACTCTGAACAGCAGTTTAAAAAGAAGAGACTTCTCTAAAAACGGACCAGGCATTGACCCTGAAGTTTTGAATCTAGTTCACGAACCAATAAAAATGACTCATTTTTACCTGTTAAATAGGCAAAGTAAAAACGCGAAGGCGAATTCTCAAGAATCGCTTACCGAGCTGTCCGATAATTCGATAGAATACCAAAACAACATGACTGATTATCCAAAAAAGCTCAGCTTACGAACAGAAACGAAAGTGATAGAAGATCCCCAAGACAATTCGAAAGATGTGGAACGCGAAACCAATGTTAAAACATTACTGACTTTTTGGAACGATAAATTGTCAAATAAAGTTGATATTTTATGCACTTGTCTTCATAATCCTCAAAAATGTTTGACTCCTGTCATCAAGACTAAGAACGTCGTCAAGTTGAGCAGCGACGGCGTGGCCGAAGAACATACGCTTAAGCCTTCGGACATTAAAGTCGGCAAAGGTCCGCCTGGTATCGCTGAACTACTTACTATGAATTCGAAAAACATCATTCGGAAGATCAAATCACATAAAAACATAATTGCCACTAGCGATAAAGAAAATTTATTGCGCACTATTGCAAAAAAGGACCAAGTCATTTCACAGCTTCAGCAAAACAAAACATTCAACAAGAGCAAAAGTAAAGATACTGTTGAAGCTCGGACCAAAAAAAGTTCAAATAGCATCTCAAAAATTAGTCAAAAAAGTGCTAAAACTAAAATAAAAAAACACAATTCCGTTAAGAAAAATAGCGTTTACATAGTGGAAGAATTGAAAAAAGAGACAGTAGCTTCTGCATCACACTCGTACATGTATATTGTAAATTATTTGGTTGAATACGTAAAAGTTTTTAGAGAAAAACGGACATCGACGACTAAAGAGGCATCGGAAATCTTGGATGTTTTAGACATTGGTAAGAATCAGAATGGTTTTAGTTTGGGTGACTGTATACCGTACTCGACAACAACAGAAAATAACGGAGACGAGTTAACAATCAGCGTAGGAAAAATCACTCTCATCACAGGAATCAAGGCAGGGATTTTACTCCCCTTACTTCAAATCATGAACAAAACGACCTTGCCAGGTAACCTGTGCAAGCTGAGCAGGGCCGAACTGAAAAAATTACGCCAGATAGGAAACCAGCTGGCAACGACGAACTCTTCATTCAAAGGCAAACTCCTTTATTATCTATTCGACATAGAAAAAATCTTCAGTTTTTACAAAGAGTGCGTAAAGGTGGCTTATCTTAAAGCAATGTACTATGTACCGAAAGTTTCACTTTTACATCGAATGAAACATTATGAAGCGATGGACATGATTTCGTTGCGGAGGCACAGATTGTACTTCACTGTGACACTTATCATAGTCGTATTCTGCCTGGCGATGTTGTTTTTGGCCAGTTCAGTTTGATTTGGCCCGCTGCTTCGCGGTTTTCGATTTGGTGAGTCTCGCCTTTCGTTTCAAAGGATGTTTGGCCTTACTCGACTTCGTTTTCTTCGATGCGTAATGCAGATTTTTCGTGGGTTCTTCGCAATTGCTTTGCGTCATGTCGAACATATAGTCCAAGTTGATGTCATATCTGAAACAGACCAACTGTCGAGTGAATTTGTCTTGTACATTTACAATAAATATTTAACACTGGAGCGTTTTATTGATGAACCTCGGAAGCTTGTCGCGCAGGAAGCTGATGACGCCTTGAGGTAAGGTCGTGTTTCTGCTCAGCAACAGGCTCGTGAGGTAACGAGGGCTCTTCCGCTTTTCCGCACAATGAAGCAAAAGGCTCCAAGATGAATCGTTGCAGTCCAGAACGTAAGTATTGTAAATCCCCTCGTCTGCCAAAAATTCGCACGTTTTAATAAACGATTAAAAAAAAGCAAAAGAATATTGATCTGTACAAATATCTTCGGCATGGATCCAATGGGAAGGCTGCGACGTGTCTGGTATGACCCATGTTATGTTGCCGTAAAGGATTTCGTTTTCAGGGTCGTCAGCAAAGCTGTATGTGAAATTCATTGCCAATCCCATCTTGTCAGACATGTAGAAAACCGCCCTCATGCATTTGTACATGATGTCCTCTTCTGAAGTCGCGTAGTACTGTACGACATACCAAGACCCTAAGAACTATAATTTAAAAAAGTGTAAATATAATTTGGCGAAGGAATGTAGACAGATTTTGTAAGTATTAAATAAAATAGACACCAGGACTTTCACATTAAAATATACACCAAAACGTTAAGTACAAAGTTAAACTTAAACCATGAAATTGTTCAACAAGAAAATGTTAGCCCAGTTATCGTCATAATGATGAAAAACATTATCTTTAATTATTTAGTCTACTTCTTATTTATTAATGCCATGGTCAAGTGATTTTTAAATAAATAATGACTTATCAAAAGAAAATAGTACGATGAAAAATATGTAAGTTATTAAGTGGTACATTAATTATTTCAAATAGAAAACTCAAAGCAAAAACCATAGCATTATTACATTCGGTTTTAAATATTTTTTTGAAAATCCGGACTTACCGAGTCAATATTAAAGTTCCTACTACCTTTCACTACGGGGCATTTCGTCTTGTCCTCTTTTTTCTGATACGCTTTGACCAATAGAAGGGCCAAAATGAACAATATTGCACTTTTTTGGCAATTCGACATGATCTTGGATGACGCGAAACTGTGAAATGACTGGTTTTGCCAATCGGCAGAAGGAAGAGGAAGCGAGTTATCATCTAGTGGCAAAATTCGACTGCTTTTGTTGATAAATAAATCCGTTTTAAAAATAAAACAATTTCGAGCCAATTTCAACAATACGTTTTGAAATACTTTTGTTAATTATTACAACTAGCTTATATTTCTATAATTATATAACTATTATATGCCTCCCTTAGATCACACGAATCCCGCTCGTGACCAAACTTTTTCATTTCAACCAAAACCTTACATTAAAATATTAATTAATTGAAAGAAGTAATTTGGTCAATCAATCCACTAAATATAATGGACTCAGATAAAATATTAGAAAAACTGTTATTAGACTAGGTTCTGTCGCAGATTATTTGAAAGCAGCATGCTATGAGAAAAAGATAGTCAACAGAGGACATCATCTTTAAGTTCTATGAGGTAACCGCTAAACGAAAGAAAATAACCGGCATATTTTTTGACATCCAAGGCCCGTTCGAGTCAGTAAAATGGGCCAAATAGTTATCACAACTGTCAAAAAAAAAAAAAAAAAAAAAAAATTAGCTTATATTATAGCAAAAAAAACTATTTGTAGTGTTTAGTGACCGTTAGTTGATGATTATTGGAGATCGTGAGATGCGGTCTTGTGTGACGTAGGTTTAGAAAAACATTTTCTTTATCGTGCCAACGTTTCGATCTTTATTGAGATCATCTTCAGGGCCTGGGATTCACACCGGACCGCAACTCACGATCTCCAAATAATACTTATCAACTATTTTTAAGGAATACTGAGATCTTCGTGTCTAAATTATCATCCCTGATAAGTTGAATATTTGCTAAACTGGGAAAAATTGCGAAAAACGAAAAAGTTAGTTAACGACCGGGATCCGAATCCACGACCTTTGGCTCCATTCACCGCTGCCCTAACCACTTGACCTATCGTGACAATAATTATAATAATAATATAATACGTTAATAATTGTGAATTAATAAAGGGTAAAAAGCAAATGAACAAAGTGTAAAATCTTTATGTAAGGTATTGGTTGAAATGAAAAAATTACACGAGCGGGATTCGAACCCACGACTTTCTGCTAAATACGCCGCTGGTCTACCACTTGAGCTATCGTGACTTCGATCCTTCGATCTTGGTGTCCGACTAGACGTGTACTTCCCAGAATTTTCTTCTCTGGCAAGAATTCCGCATTTTCACTGTTGTTTCAGCAATATTACATAAATATATAACTGAAAATGCAAAAATCGACGTCAAAATAACTTCTGGCCTTTGCGTGCAAACAAATCTAAGAAGTCTTTGTTGAAAAGTAGAAATATGAAATTCCATAAATACACCCATATTTCTAATGGCAACATTATAAACGAACTTATGGGAATTATTAATAAATCGACTTGATCGGGTTAATGAAGCTTTTTCAAAATCTATGTTTAGTCGCAATTAAATGAGCAAAAATCATTATATAGATATTTAAAAAAAATATTATTTTTGGTGTATAAATTCATTGGTGAACATAAGAATAAAAATGTTCTATGACGCAAATATTCTAATTCGTTATAATTTAAAAATATAAATCAACAAAATACTTTTTTTTTCATATGTTAACAAACAGTCTGTAAGTAAAATAGTCAAAAAAATATTAAAATCTTGGATATGATCTCATTGTCGTGATTCTATCGTTATAAAACCCTTAGATACCGACTTTCTTAGATATTGGTGTACATTAATTTTTTGACCATTGTTATTGCAAGCATAATATAATTTTTGTAAAAAGCTAGTGGTCCGATTTTCATGGTTGATAATTCGTTTTAAAGAAATTGTCAAGTGCATTTTATAACTAACTATATCAGACATTAAAATCGGTCTATTATTATTTAAAAAACGAGGTTAATTTCTGTCAAAAATATTTTCTTATTTTATGTATTTTCTAACAGAAATCGTTTTTATCTATTTTATGCTACATACGTCGTTAAAAGCTCCGTGACTCTTCTTTAAAATGGTATGTTTGGCGTTAAATCCTTTTAGACGATTTTGAATTATAGCCGTTTCACTCAGATATTCTGAGAACGATTTCTTAGAAATCGGACAAATTTTAAGGGTCGAAAAATCGCTAAATTTAAATTGAAACAAAATTTTATATATAAGGGTCTCTAGAGGTGTTAAAACGAAATTCCATATTAGTTTCACACACACACACACACACACACACACACACACACACACACACACACACACACACACACACACACACACACACACACATGGTTTGCCGGAATGGAACACCACCTCTGGGGATTTATGGATGTATCGGGGGTGATGGAGATTTAGGTGGCCTTACGGGCAACGGGTTAAGATACGAACACNCACACACACACACACGCACGCACACACACGCACGCGCACGCACGCACGCACGCACGCACGCACAGAGAAAATTATGGCCTATTAATGATTGGCTGAGTCTCAAACCTCGACCGATTTTAGACCATTCTCATTCATCATTTCTATTGATTTTAGACCTGGTCAAGTGATCTTCAATACTGAGGAGGCTCTACCGTGTAGTGATAGATACACTGTCTATCAGTACACTGTGAAGGCTGGATGGGATAATTCGGAGGTCGGTTAAGAAAAAGTTTCATCTTCTTAGATTTACTCCAAGTAGCCTCATAACAACAAAAGTAACAAAGAAGACATGTCTCAGATGGCGCATGAAGTCCCTGTGGCGAATTTGCGAGCAGCATTGCACCTTGTGATATGGCCAGGGAATTACATTAAGCCAGCTGGCTCTGGACACATTTCATTAAGGCGGCATCCCGCCATGGTTTGCCGGAATGGAACACCACCTCTGGGGATTTATGGATGTATCGGGGGTGATGGAGATTTAGGTGGCCTTACGGGCAACGGGTTAAGATGTGAAGACTTCTGCTGGTGAAATGGTGGACAACTGATGATCATGATGGAACTTTGATTCATTGACCTACCCTCCACCTTAGAACTAATGAGAATAAGGGATGCAATGAGGAGGGCAGACCAAATGAGCATCCAATTGTAGATGTGGGGCGGGTTCGGTCTCCCATGTACTGTACTCGTGCTTGGACAAACATTCAAAATAGTGCCTCCAGGTCCTATAACCAGTCTTGGTGACCCGGGTACCAGCTTGCTGGCAAAACTCACTCCGAGCACCAGATAGGAATAGACTCTGGCAATTTATTGCTGCCACTAATGAGGAGGGAACATTTATTAAATAACATATTTATATATGGACCTCTCGGCGGGATATGAAACCGCAGGTACATCAGTAGACATCAAGGCGCGAAAATACATTTTAAGCCCTCACATAACTAACCAGAAAAATTAAACACAGGTAGTATTAGGGGCATTTGAGCATACTAAAAAGAGGCTCAAGGATCTCAGGATTAAACACTCCCATGAATACTCCTCAGTCTTTCCCTAAATGCTTTAAGGTCCTCACTACCTACAGTCCAATAATTCCGGCTGTTGAGCTTACCAACCAATAGTGTCAGACTCATAATGGTCTCTAGTGGACATGGTGTGGCTGAAGTTAAGTAGTGGGTGACTCAAGGAAGCCAATATGAGTGAAACCGAAAAGAAGGTATTATTTATATACCAGGAAAAAAGTCTACAGGTCTAAAAGATGGGATAAAACAAAGAATGCCAAAAAGTAAAGCTTCCAGATACAACCACATCTTACATACATTACCTATGCGCACAGAACCTCTTGTCGTACGAAGAAGTAACAATTATTAATTAACAACAGCCTAACCATTCTTTCAGATTATTAAAAGTGTTTCTTATTACTTAAAATAATGGAAGGTCACAAAAATCCCTTAAGGAGAGATATTGAAAATAGTAAACAAATTTAAGGAAAAGAAAAGTGAAGTTTACCTAACACAGATCACGGCACATATACAAGATAGACTTACTCCCAAAAGATGCCGCATAAAAAGATAAAAAGTAATAGTGACCCCAAAAATGTTATATAGGTTTGACAAAAGTAATAAAATTCATAATGAAGTAAGAGTAAATTTTACACAAGACTACGACCAAAAATCCCCAACAAGCCTTGGTGGTCCCACGACTAGATCTCGAAGCTTTTTTACAACTCTTTTCATAGGATTTACCCACCTTGCAAACATTTCCAATTAGATAGGCAAATTGCAATTGTGATGAAGAAACACTAAAGCCCAAATGGTAATATTAGCATCTGAAATCATCGGAGCGGATACCTTTCCAGACAAGAACCAACTATACTCACAAATACCAAGACTATCATGGTATTAGACACTAATAACCTTTATTAAAGAAAATGAAATAAAAAAATAATTTATAAATAAAAATTAAATAATTATAATAAAGACAACAAGACCACACAGATGGTCAATGGGACAGAAGCAATGCCAAAAGAAAAAAAAAATTAAAATAACATTTTGAATAAGAAAATTAATAAAATAGATGGAATGGGCTGCCAACCAAAATTTAATTTTCTTTTCAGTGCCCACTGTGTTTAAAATGTTTAATAGTTGATATTTATGTTTCAGTTTGTGGAATGGTCGACATGATGCAAAGCAGTGCGATGATCCCATGCAAAATCTACGGATCTGAGGAAAGTGAAGTCAAGAAAACCAAGCAAACGTTGAAAACATGGATGAGTAGCCTGGCCACAAAGTCGTGAGACAAAGTTCATAGCATTTTTATGAAGAAGTATGTGCTACAATTCTAAATCTGCCCCCTGTCCAAAATGACATGCTCCTCCACACACATGATGCTCATGTATCAGATCATACTTCATTTTAAGATAAGGCACTTTTATATACTCTTTGGTAAAACTAAAGATTTTATCTATGTTGTCAGAGTAAATAAAAAATTGATTTAACAAACGTTTCATTTTAATAATAATAAAAATATAAAAGTATGATAAAATAAACATAGCAATGAATATGAAAAAAAAGAAGCAAAGCCTGTTACAATGTCAGAAGATAAT